GTTACATCGCCAGGAGGAACCCCAGAGCATTGCCAGGTGTGGCCCTAACACAACAAAGATTTCTGGAGAGCTGGGGAGAGAGCTCATAGGGTTAGTGCCCATGTAGGAGGCCTGGGTTGTAGCCTGGCACCACAAGGTTCTCCAAACACTGCCAGGCCTGACTCTAGAAACATGCCACAATTAGCCCTTGGACACTGCTAGTTACGGCAGAACTCTGGGGGAATTCCTCTCTGAACTCTGGGGGCTAGCAAAAAGAGACAGGACACACGCCTGCATGTGTGAGTCCCCAGGTTTGACCCCTGGCACTGCATAATATCCCAAGCACATGCAGGCTCCATGAGACTCACATTGCTGGGCTGAGCATTGCTGGGGGGAGACCCCGATTTTTAAATAATCTGTAAACCAGTGTCTCCCCCAAAGGAGCTCTGGCTCGAAACCTGAGTTCAAGGCCAGTCCCAGCTCTTGCTAGCAGCTTAGGCATGTGTAAGGCATGAATGCTTTGGGCCTTAAGAGTCACTTCATGGGGTGGCCCCTGGTGGCCCCCATTGAGCCCCAAGAAGCAACATATCACTGGAACTGAGTGTTGAATTATCTTATCTGGTTCATCAAGTTTCACCAGGGTTGACCCCACAACCCTCTGAGCATTCCTTGGGGGCCCCCAAAATAGAGGTTTGTTTCCGAGAGTTATGAGGGAGTCCTGTTCACACAAACACTCAGTGATCAAAGATTAGTGACAATTGCTTGTTACTTTATTGTCTAAAGTCTATTTTTTATTATGATTGACTTAGGGTAGTGCTTAAAACAAACAAAAAACACAAAAAAAACCCATTCTTTTTGTCATTACCATGACTTGGTATCACTCACTTAGTTGTGGTATTTACACGCTCTTGGCTGTAGTGGGACAAAGGCCATGTGCTTTGTTACGGTACAGGGAATGACGAAAGTTGGTTCCATCAGGGTTATGCTCAGCACATGTAGGGTGGTTCCAGGGAATCAAATTCAGGGCTTCACACTTGCAAGGTACTTTGCCACTACTGAGCCTTTCCTGGGCCTCATCACTTAAAGAATTTATTGCTGAATCTTTTTGGTGCAGGGGTGGGCACACCTGGATATGCTCAGGGGTTACTCCTGGCTCTGCATTTAAGAATGACTCCTGGGAACCATATGGGATGATAAGAATGGAACCCAGTACAGTCACATGCAAGGCAAGTGCCCTACCTACTGTACTATCACTCCAGCCTCCTTTTTGTTTTTTTGGTTTTGGTTTCTGGGCTCTATTCAGTAATGCTCAGGAACTGATCCTGATGTGTTTCTTTGGGGATGATCCCAGTGGTGCGGGGAGATCATGTGGTATAGGATCGAACCCAGGCCACCCACATACAAAGCATTTACACTTGCCCTTTGAACTATCTCTCAGTCTCCTGACCTCAACCTGATTCTCAAGCTTTTCCTCCACCTATACATAATTACTTTTTTCAACTATGAAATTCTGTCATCTTTACTAAGAATATTTCACGTAGATAGGAAACATAAACTACAGCCCCATAGCTTACAGGTTATTTGCTTTGCATGTAGTTCTTCCTAGGTATTCACAGTTGGAGCCAAGAGATTAATGTGTGAAACTTTGCCTTTCTTTGGCATTCAAGCCGGGCATTCTAGGGGAAAGAGCAGCTCAGATAGAGAAGGAAGCACCAAATAAAGGGTGTTTGGAGGATCCTCGCAGGGTGGGAGATGCATGTTGAAAGTAGACTATGGACCGAACATGATTGCCACTCAATGCCTCTTTTGCAGACCACAACACCCAAAAGGAGAGAGAGAACAAAAGGGAATGTCCTGCCACAGAGGCAGGGTGGGATGGGGGGGATGGGGGTGGGAGGGATACTGGGATCCATGGTGGTGGAAAATGGGCACTGGTGGAGGGATGGGTATTTGATCATTGTATAATTGAAACAACCCAAGCACAAAAATTTGTAAGTCTACAACTGTACCTCATGGTGTCTCACTAATAAAAATTAATAAAATTTTTTTTCTTTGGCATTCAAACATGTTGAGTTATTCATGGGTACTCTCTCTTGCTTCTCAGAGGGCTGTTGTCCTTTGTTTTGTTATATTCATTTTGTTTTCATTTTGTTTGAGTTCCTGGCAATGCTCAGGGTTTAATCTTGCCTCTGTGCATAGGAATAATTCCTGGCAGTGCTCAAAGGACCATATAAATTACCAGAGATGGAATTAATTAGGGTCACCCGTATGTAAGAAAGTACCTTAACCCCTGTATGGTCTCTCTGCCCCAAGTTTAGCTATAGCCAATAAATGAAAAGGGTGATTACTGATTTCAGAAATTACTATGTCAAACACCAGACTGACACTCCTCCAAATACAGCACCACAAGAAGGAGATTCATTCCCAGGTAAAACAAGGAAACCGGGACACAGTGTAATTCATAGCCGAGGGTCACCAGCTTCTAAGAATGTTGTTTCTAATTTTATTCAAAACTGCCATGAGCATCTTGGTAAGTATATTTTGCCAGTGTCCTCAGTCATTGATCTAGATTAAGTTCCTAATGCAGTACAGGGTAGGCACTATGTTGGGTTCCTCTGACACAAACTGCCCAACTGTCCTTGAAGAACACTGGGCAGCAGGTTCATCTAGATTGTGTCTGGAGTGGATCTGAGCCTTAGCGCTCTGGGTACTGTCCTTGGTGCTGAGGTTCCAGCAGGAGTGCAGCACAGCTGGACACGTCGGCTCTCTGAACTAGAGCAACTCCCAGCCAAGGCAGTGGCTGCCAGACATCCAGCTTCCACTCCTGTGGACAAAGAATGTGCTAAGCCTGTGCTCAGCGAGTAGGTGTGGCCTGTTGTCTTTCTACATAAGTGGGTAAAATAGGTGGTGATTTTGCTGTTTCACAAATGAGGAAATTGGGACTCAGATTGCATAACTGCATAAAAAATAACCGGAAGTGATAGTACAGTGGGGAGGGTACTTGCCTTGCACACAGCAGACCTGGGTTTGACCCCTAGTATCCTATGTGGTCCCCTGATCACTGCTGGGAGTAATTTCTGAGTGCAGAGCCAGAAATAGCCCCTGAGCATTGCTGGAGGTGGCCTCAAAACAAAAGAAAACAAAGCAAAATTTCTGGGGACAAGGGATATTGTTCAGTGGTAGAGCACTTGGAAGGAAGAAAGGAAGGAGGGAAGTAGGGAAGGAAGGAAGGAAGGAAGGAAGGAAGGAAGAGAGAGATATGAACAAGAGCAATAATATAGTGGAAGGGTGCTTGCCTTGCATGCAGCCAACCAGAGTTCAATCCCCAGCCTCCCATAGAATTTCCTGAGAACCATCAGGAGTGATCCCTGGGCACAGAGCCAGGACTAACCCCTGAACACCCCTGGGTATGCCCCCCCAAAAAGAAAAGAAACAAAATAAGAAAAAAAAGAGAGACAAGGAAAGAAAGAATGAGGAAAAGAGAAAAAGAAAGGGAGGAAATAAATGCTTGCAACTGCCCTCTGCACACAGCCCAGTAGCTGCCTGTGCTGGAGATACCTGAAGGCGTGGGGAGAGCACTGGGATGGGATCAGCAGGAAAGCACACTCCTCACTGGTGTGAGTCCCTGGGTTCATGCCCAGCACCACACAAACACACACACAACTCATGCATATGTGCACACACATAATCACACACAGTAATTTATATACACACACACCAATATAGGTGTGATTCAAGGGTGTGCATATGCCATTTGGGGGTACTCGGGGCAGGACCTCACTGGGGTCTCTTCCCTGTACCCTTATAGGCATCAGCTGTGGTCTGGATGGAAACCAGCTCTCTCAAGTGTGCATGGTGATGTCTTGACCACTCGCAATACCCCACAGAGGTCAGGTCAGTGGAGACAACCCACAAAGCCCAGCCTGTGCTGATATGGGCTTCATCATGAAGCTTGTATCCTGGCAGGACATCAGGCAGGGCCACTGGGGAGAGACAGAAAGAACCACCCCCTTCCCGGAGCCGGGGAAAGAGCACAGCAGACAGTTTACTTGACTTGCATATGGCTGACCTGGGTTCCAATATCAGCATCTCAGATGGTTCTCTGAACCCATCCAGGAGTGATCCCTGAGCACAAAGCCAGGAGTAAGTTCTGAGCATTGCCAAGTGTGGCTCCCAAACCCAGCAGCATGACTTATTAAATGACCCCTTGTCAGCTTTTTCATGCACCCTCAGCTCTTTCAATGTTTCCAAGCTCTCTGCTATATGGTGCCAGGGATAGAACCCAGGACTCAAACCAAGGCAAGAGTGTTGCTCACTGTACTGTTGCTTTGGCCTCGATAGGAACCTTCCCCCCCTTCTTTTAAAAAACGAGGATTAGAAAGTTTTAAAAGAGTCTAATTAGGGAGCAGAGAGATAGAACAATGGGTAAGGTGCTTGCCTTGCATGCAGCCAACCCGGGTTCGATCCATGGCATCCTATATGGGGTGGGAGGGGGGGAGAAGAAGAAGAAGAAGAAAAAGAAGAGGAGGAGGAGGAGGAGCAGCAGCTTAATGATTGATCTACTCAAGGTCAAATAGTTATTAGCTGGCCAGGACAGGATCCCTGTCTTCACTGCTGAGGACTCTTAAATTCTGTTTATATTATTATGGAAAATTTTATTTAAAAATTATTTTCCTGCCAATGTGTAGGTTTCCTGAAGCTGTGGCAATTTAATCACTTATGAACCTGCAAGTCCTAAAATTGCTTGGGAGGGGGAAGGGTGGGAGTCAAGGGTCAAAAGTCCGGCCTGGGAACTTTTGACATCTGTTGGTGGGGGTGTGTGCGGCGGGTGTTGGTCAGCGACGCGTGCAGTTGCAATTAGTGACCACGAGAGGGCAGCGCACGCTGCTCGGAGCCCGTCGCGGCCCATCTTCCGGATTCGGTGAGCCCGGGAGAAGAACCCGCCTCCTCGCCCATAAGGCCTTGCGCCGGAAGCTGCGCTCTCTCTTCCTGTTCTCCATCATGGCGGTGAGTAACCCCGGTCCGCCTTTGCTGCCCTTCATCCGCCTCCATCCACGGCCGGCCGAGCTCGCCGCGGCTGCCGTGCTTGCGGCCGGAGGGAGACAGACCCCGCGAAGTCGGCTGTGCGGGCGCGGGAGCGGTCGGGCGGGCGGGCGCGGGGCTCGGAGCCGGACCCCGGCCTCCCCGCTTCCGTGCTTGCTGGGAGTGGGCTGAGGCCGACGCCCGAGGGCGGAGAAGCGCGACCCGGGGCCGCTCGGGGCGCACGGGGGGCTCCGGCGCGGGAGACTCGGGCCCGGGGCGGGCGCGCGGGGAGCGTCAGCCCGGGCCGCGGCGCGCGCTCCGCGTCGGCCGGACGTGGCGCGGGCACGTGCCTGCGGCGTCCGCGCGGCGGGGCTGACGGCCGGGCGTGCTCGTTGCAGCAGGACCAGGCTGAAAAGGAGAACCCCATGCGGGAACTTCGCATCCGCAAGCTCTGCCTCAACATCTGCGTCGGGGAGAGCGGAGACAGGCTGACCCGCGCGGCCAAGGTGCTGGAGCAGCTCACCGGGCAGACCCCCGTGTTCTCCAAAGGTGAGTGCGGGGGGCTGGGAGGAGGGTTTACCGGCGACGGGTACCCCAGGTGCTGCGGAGCCCGCCCCGGCGTCTTTGGACGCTTGATCGTGGCGTTAAGAGTACCAGGGTAGTTTTGTTTTGCTTTTTTTTTTTTCCTTTTAATATGAGCAGAGCATCAGACTAAAGAAATTCCGGGTCTCCCAGGTGATGGGGTAAGGTGGAGCGGGAATACGGGGGCAGCGGCAGGGCTAGGGAGACGGACGGGCTCACTGAGCAGTAAGAATCGGGACTGTGCCTGCCTGGGCCAGAGCGTCTGGCCTCTTGGTTTCTTCGTCCTCCTGTTTAATTACCATGATTGTGAAGGCCGGGATGGGTTTGGGCCTGTGGCGGGCCTGCCACGCACACGGCACAACAGTAGGCATTAGGCTTTTTAGAAACCTGTTGGGTCCGGAGAGATGGGGCAGCAGGTAAGGTGCTTGCCCTGCGTGCGACAATCCCTGCGTTTAATCCCCGGCCCCTAGTAGGGTCCCCTGAGCACCACCAAAACCAAATAAATACTGTGGCTGCCAAACCCAAATAAGTTGGATACTTAACGTTGTTACGGGATAATGGAGCCCAAGTCTGAGTGTTTCCCAGAGTGGGCAGTCTTGGGGGAGGGGGCTGGTGCTGCCCAGCCTTAGGGGAAAGGGAGAGTCTCTTTAAGGCAAACTTTGAGGGCTGCTGGGGTTTTTAGAATGTCGAATGAAAGCTAAGTAAGTTTGGGAACTTCTGCCTTAAAACTTGCTTCTTGATTATTAGCTGATCCTAGGGAATTGAACCTCTCAGAACCTCATCTTTAAAATGAGAATGGCAGGATAAGGATTCAGCAGGTGTGCCATCGTTTAGTGACTTGCATTCTTAGATGTTTGCTCTTCCAGGGACTAACACGATGATGTTAGGAGTTCTTAATCACATGTATGTGGCTGGGCGACTTGGAAATTGAAAATTGTTTCCTGTGTTACCCAGGGAGCCCATTAGCAGATGTGATACTGATTATAACAACGCTGAGAGCTTGGACAGATAATATTTTTGGGAAAGATGTTTCAGGAACAGGTTGGAGTGGTGACAGGACTTACGTGAGTCCCCAGATTCAGTACTTGCCAGTGTTTAAAACACAGCCTGGTGCCTTCTTTTGCCCTTCTGCAGCTCGGTATACCGTCAGGTCTTTCGGCATCCGGAGAAACGAGAAGATTGCTGTCCACTGCACTGTTCGAGGAGCCAAGGCAGAAGAAATCTTGGAGAAAGGGCTAAAGGTGAGGCTGATAATATGTTTGGGGGGGGGCAGGGTGTTAAAGGTTGTTGACTTAGCACATGCAGTTACCTACAGGGGCAGGAATTGCATTTGACATACTGTCTTTGGTTCTCTGGTTTTGCTTGTTTTCTTTTTAACTTCTGAAGGATTAAACGACACTTTGTATAACTATTTCCCTGCCCTTTTACAGTGGGGAAAGTTCTGTGACTGGTACACTAAGGAAATCAGATTTTTGTTCTTGATCAAATTCCATTTCTGAACTGCTGGGTATTGCAGATTGAGCTGGTTGTTTGGAGAGGGGGGTAAATTGACAGGGAATGTAATAACTTTTTCTTCCTCTCAGGTGCGAGAGTATGAGTTACGAAAAAATAACTTTTCCGATACGGGAAACTTTGGTTTTGGGATCCAGGAACACATCGATCTGGGAATCAAATATGACCCGAGCATTGGTATCTATGGCCTGGACTTCTACGTGGTATGAATATTTCCTCTCTTGCACTCTGGTCTGTGAGGAGAGTGGAATCTGCTGCTACTTTGTTTGATGTGTGTTGCTGTTTTACTGTTCAGATACTGGATCAAAGTTTGAGTATTGTCTAACCCTACTCCCCCCGGAAAATATTTAGCAGTTGTGGCAGCTAAAGGAATACAAGATCCCTTACGCTCTGAATTTACAGTCTAGGATCTAGTGGGCACCAATAGGACTGAGGTAGATACAGGAAACTTCCATCCAGCCACTGACTTGAAAATTTGAGAGTGTTTGGTGCTGATTGGTGTGTAAGTTGGCTGCTCTGAGGTGCTTTTCCCTGGCTCCTTTCCTTAAGATCCTGGGGTGAGGCGTCTTCTGCCCAGAGAACACGGAAGCCCTTGGTGTGGCTGTTTGCTTGGGTGGGAGATCTAATGTCGAAATGACCTCCTGTGTTAACTGCAATGTTTTGGTGAAGCAAAAACCAGGGAGCCTTGTCTAGCGGGAAGCACCATCATTGGATTTGAATATCCTAATAGTAACGTGCTGGACATGATCAGGGGATGCTGGTAACACACTCTTCAGACACTGGGATCGTGGGAGTCTGATGCGTGCTCTGTTGGTCCTTGGGCCACTGGGTGACTCGAGGCTCAGTTTCTGCAGTGTGTGAGTCTTGTCCGTGTACTCTGACTCTGAGCTGGCTAGGTGACTGTTGGTTATTCCTGGGACAGGTGCTGGGTAGGCCAGGTTTCAGCATCGCAGACAAGAAGCGCAGGACAGGCTGCATTGGGGCCAAACACAGAATCAGCAAAGAGGAGGCCATGCGCTGGTTCCAGCAGAAGGTAAAGCTGATTTATCTCAGGTGAAGGTGGTGAAATACGGTGTTGGTGAGTGGTGTGGGACTGGGGGAGTGCAAAATCTTGGACCACTTGGTGGGCTGCTTCTGTGAAGAATATATGTGGGCAGCTTGGCACACCTGGGAGACTTCCAAGATTGGTGGTTAAAAGGAGCACCTGGGACCCAGGCCTTCCCCCCCAGCCTCGTGAATGCAGGTAGCTAGGAGGGGAGGTCTGTGGCTTTACCACGAGCCCCTTTACCTAAGGGTGTATAGTGCAGTGGAACAGTGAGTGTGGAGTTAAAATTGGCTGAGCTTCTGTGCAGGCCAGAAGGGATATGGGATTCAGAGCAAAATTCATGTGGGTTTGAATTCTGAAACAGCCTGTACTACAACCTTTGCTGTTATCTCCTGTTCTGAAAAAAATTAAATCTCTTCTCTTTCAGTATGATGGGATCATCCTTCCTGGCAAATAACTTCCTGTTTCTGTTCAAAAGGCCAATAAAAAGTGTTGCGTGAAATGTACATTACTGTTGTGTATTCTGTGAAAGGAGCCTGGCCATATTCAAGTCCTTGGACCTCAAGCCACTTAAATCGACGATGGGAATGGCTGGTAACCGCCCTGTCATCCTTTGAAGCCAGTGTATCTTGGCTGATCCGATCCTAGCTTGGCAGCATTGGCTGTGGGGCAGTGATCCCATGGAAACTGATTTTAGAGGGGTGGGTATGTTTGGAGCTTGGGTTTGAATTTAGAGCCTTGGGTAAAGATGGGGTGCGGTGCTTGTGTTCTAAGATACTATTTTGCCACTACTGATGTGACACAATCACAGTTTGGTGTGATACTTGGGATTAAATGTCGGTTTAACTGTTTAGACTTTCCTGCCTCTCGCCCCATCAGTAGTTTGATTCTTGTAGAAATTTGTACCAAGCACACAGCACTAAAAAGGGGTTGTTTTGTTAGTATTTTTGGTCTTTTGGCCTGTGAGAGATATTGCTGCTTGCCAGTTTAATTCCCCTTGGTGTGAAAGAACTTACTTGCCCGTAGGTATCTAGGTTAAACTTAGGTTTAAATCTTGAGCCAATGTTTAATTGAGAATTTAACATACTTGTGATGAGTCAGTGTAGTGGGCCATGTCTTTGTGGGCTGTTCAATAGATCGTTCTATTAGCTGCCTCGCGATAAGGTGACTTGGTGTGCATAATATTTTATGAAAATATTTGTTTTCTTGGTAATAAAACCTCACCGAATAGGACAGAGCCAATTGCTGGGGATAAGCAACGAATGTGGGTTTTTTGGGGGGGAGGAGTTTGGGGTTTTGGGGCCACGATGATGGTGTTTAAGGGCTAATGATATCTCTGTGCTCAGGAGTGACCCCTGGTGGTGCTTTGTATTGAGCCAGGTTGGCTGTGTGCAGGACGAGCGCCTTCTTGACTGGACCGCGTCAAGGCCTCAATGTAATTAATCTGTTTAGAGTTTCGTGAGGGCTCCCCTGGTGCACAGACTTGGTACATGCTAGACATACACTCAGATCCATGGAACTATATTCCTGACCCCAAACGTTTACTTGATACTAATGTACATTTACTTCACAGTAGAGTCAGGGCTATTTTCTTGCTCGAAACTGGTAAAGTTTGATTTTTATCATTCATCTTCATTTTAGAAGACAAAAACACTTAACTTGTTTCAACTTAATTATAATAACCACAACTGGAATAACTGTCTTTGAGAACAAGTAAGTTTGTTAATATGTACTAAACTGGTGCTGGATACTACTGCTGTGGGGATTGGGTATGCAGATGGGTGAGGAAATAGCAAGTTTCATCTAAATGCAGCAGCGCCTCAGAAAAATGAAGAGTCCTTGCCTTTTTTAATAATGTAAACCTGCTGGAGTTCTCAACTGGTTCTGCTTTATTGTATACTGATACAATACTTGCCATTAAAACGGGAAGAGCTGGGATCCTTCTGTGGGAAACCACTCTTGGGAGTTTAGAAATCCCCGATTGTAGTTCTAGCTCTAATAGAGTTATGAAACATCTGTACTAGAACAACGCAGATACTTTCTGAAGTAGCTTAGTTAGCACAGCGAGAGCCTGGAAAGCTTGTCCTTGTCTTGGTGAGAAACTCGCTTTCCAGCCATGTCACTGTGGTAAAGCATTGGTGCTTTGAGTTGAACTTCTCTGTGGCAAGTGGGCAAGATCTCCTGGTCAGGGGCTCTACCCCAAAGCTGCTGGATGAGATGTTGAACCCATGGGTGAACTTGCTGAAGTGTAGAACAGTGCCCATGCTCTAATGCCAAAACTTGGGGCTGGAGAATAGAACCAACATTTCTTTAATAAATTTAGTTTTGTAAATTTCTTGCCGTGTGGTTTTTCTCATTTCTTCGGTTGCCATGTAAAACGAGTCAGTGAGCTAGCATTTCACACTGTTGCAGAAGAGTACGTGCCTTGCATAGTCCCCAGGAATGGTCCTTGGCCCTCTAGCACCCATGGGTGTCTCTTAATTCCCTGTGGGCTTGGGGGCCATATGGGATGCCAAGGATTGAACCTGGATCAGCCACATGCAAGGCAAACACTACTCGTTTTTATTACCTCTCTGGCCCTGAGTGCTGGGGTCTTAGATGCTTCACATCACGTCTATCCCAAGCAACACTGGGAAGGACCCATAGAGCTGGAGTAGCCCCCAGCACTGCTATGTGTGCTGACAGCACACCCACACACCCAAAACTTGGGTGAGGTACCTGGTAGACATGTCCGTGCTAAGCCCCAGGAATAATATTGGATACTCTTGTGGGGTGGGGGCAGTGTCCAGAAGTAAATTTGGGGGCTCACATGCAAGGCAGGTGCTCTTCTGAGCTGCTTTGCAGCTGAACGGCTCCTTTTGTGTTGGGGGAGGAGCTTGCTGTGCCAGGACTGGAACCTGGGCCTCTTCATGCCAAACTTAGGCTCCACAATGCTGAGCAGCAGTCTGGCCAGTTTGAGGTGTCCTGTAATGAATGGGTGCTCTATTACTGCTGGGGCAGTAATTGCCCAGTTCCCTCTTTTATTTGGAAGTTTATACAAATAGACCTTATCACAGTAGCTGACAACCGTTGACACAAGTGTCTGAACATTCAACCATTCAAGGAATCTTGTAAAGTGTTCCTGAGGCTGGGATCGCTGTCATCATTTGACACTGAAGCAGATAGGTGGTGGGACCCGGCCAGCTGCAAGTGCTCGGAGGGCGCAGTCAGACTGGTTGAGGGAACAGGGAATCTGGATGATTTGAGAACAGGGTGAGGCAAAGATTAGATAAAATGAATCTGTAAAACTAGAAAGGGGAATTAGGGCAGAAACAGGGATATGACTTAGGTAATTTTATCAGCACTGGCGTTTTCTGTTGTGTTTTTGGTCACCCAGTTGTATTCAAGGCTTACTGGGTCTGTGCTCAGGGATCACTCCTGGCAATGCTTGAGGCACCATAATGGGGTACAAGATCGAACCCAACCCAAGCTTACAGTATCCACTGGTATAGCCAGCAACATAAATGTGAGTGGTGCAGTATTCTTCTGGCCCTGATAATTGGCATTTTCGTCTGTATGGGATGGCCAGAAGGAAAAGACATTTCAGATTAAGGGTATAATCGTGGTGGGTTTGAGGGCCATTCTGGTGGTGCTTGGGGAAACCATGTGCCAAAGGGTTGTACCAGGGTCCCCTCATGCTCTTAACCTCTGTATTGTCTCTGACGCCCCCAGTTTTTGGTTTTGGTTTTTGAATCACACCCTGTAGTGCTCAGGGTTTATCCTAGTGGTACTCTGGGAAATGCAGTGCACGGAATAACAGGTATTTGCTGCATGCAAAGCAAGTGTCCTGACTGCTGTCCTATCTGGGGGGATGTGTGATGCTTGGCCGGGATTAATGCTAGTCTCTTATTGAGCCCCATAGCCAGCCTGGGGTCATTGGTGCTTTCTTCTGTTAGAAATTGTTTTGAAATATGGCTAGTGTTATCTTCTAGGTTTTTTTTTTTTAATTGGCCATATTTGGTGATATTCAGAGGCAGTTCCTCATTCTGTTTTCAGGGGCCCGTGTACTGAATTCCAGCCCTGTGAACGCTCTCTGGCCACCTAGGGTCTTTTTTTTGGGGGGGGGGGTCACACCTGGCCCTGTACAGGGGTTATTCCTGGTTCTGCACTCAGGAATTACTCCTGGCAGTGCTCAGGGGACCATATGGGATGCTGGGAATCAAACCCGGGTTGGCCACGTGCAAGGCAAACGCCCTACCTGCTCCAGCCCCCTAGGGTCTTTTTGTTTTTATAGTGTAGTTTCCCTTTTAGCTTAAATGTGTTATGTCATACATTGTCCTTTGGATGTGAGTAACATTTCCTATCTGTGAAGCCACTGGATATGTTAGGACTATCAGTTCCATAGGACCTCCTCCAGTAAAAGCTCTTCTGTTTTCTGTATCCTGTCCTGTCCAGTGAGTATAAGCTCCTTATCTTTTTTTGCGGGGTGAGGATGTGATGCCTTACATGGTGCTCAGGGGATTACTCCTGGTAGACTTGGGGTCTCCAGGGATCGAACCCAGGTTGGCTGCGTGCAAGCAAGCACTTTACCTGCGGTTCTAGCTCTCTGGCCCTAAGGTCCTTAAACTATACTTGGGCTATATATGCCATTGCAAAGAGGTTATTTGTGTTCTAATTACTACCTTTCTCTTTGCTTCCTCTGCTAGTATCCAAGACCATATTCTCCATGGCAAATTGCAATCTCTCTGGCCCTTTAGAGTTATGGACAACCCTTAGATCTGAATTTTTGTGCTTCTGCCTTCTACACCTCCAAGTCCTCCAAGCATAAAGCGCTCCAACCCACAATGAGTTAACCGTGGGAGGGGCCTTAGCACTAAAGGGTTAAACCCAGGCTTGTGAAGTGAGTGGCATGGTCAGGGCCCAGAAATCACCCACAAGTAATTTTAACTGCCAGCCACTAGGGATGAAGGTGGTGCCTGGGGGTATAGAACCACTTTCAGAGCAGCTTGTTATGGAAACCAGGGTTGTGGTTGTCAGAGGGGAATCCAGCCAAAGGCACCCGGGGGGTACCAGGAGGACTGAACTCAATTTTCTTCCAGAAGCAGGTGCAGAAAATCTTTAGGTAACAACTGCAGATGCCTTGTATTTTTAAAAAAACAGAGCAAAAATGACTTGTTATTATCCCAGTTGAGGCCTGTATGTGATTTGGTTTAGGATGGTACATGATAAATACACTTCAGTAGTTACCTGGAACTTGACACTTTATTTCAAATCCTTTGCTGGTCCCTGGAGACAGTGTCTGAGCTTGTTTTCTATGAGGAGTTTCATTTAGCTGTCACAGAAATAAATAGATGGCTGTTGCTCACCGCGTGGTTGGCCAAGTAGACTTGTGGCAGGAATCCTTCCTGGATGTTGGTTGAGATTCCTGCCTTGGATATGTCTTTATTTTGTTTTCCTGTCTAAGGAAGTGTGTCATGATGGGGACACAGTTGAATTGCTTGAAGCGACCAGTAGTGGATTGGA